TTACATGTATTTTAATTAATTTTTTTTATTGATTCAGTTAAAGACAAGTTATTTATACCAAGATTAAAGTATTCATAAGAGAATTACGAAGATTCGAACTCAAGACATCTGAATTTATAATTCATCTCTTTTACTACTTGAACTACATTTGAGATTAGAAAAATAATATCATGACCCTATTGATTATAACTGTTAAATTAAAATTATGTTTTATTTAATATTTAAATTCATAACTAATCAAATAATTATATTAAATTTTGCCTCCAAATTAAATTCTTTGTAACATTGCCAATGGTAATAGCCCACGTTTCTATGAGTAATGTTATAGGAATTTTATTTAGGGATCTAATTTGGGAACATAATGATGTGATTTTAATATAATCATTGGATTAATTGTGAATTTCAATGTTAAATAAAATTTACAATCAATCCAATAATTGTATTAAATTAAATCCCTAAATTCGGTTCAACTAACATTTTTCCGTTTCTACGAGTTCCCTACGCCATCCATTATTATTAACCAATCAAAGTTAGAAGAGTGGTAGAAGAAAAAGGGCTTTAAAAACAGTGAACAGCATAAGGGATGCAAATAGTTGATGGGACACGTATCAACAAAGGGCATGATTATAGGTCCTATGTAGGAAAGAAAGTACACTGATATTACAGGTACAGAATAAAGTTCCCCCACAAGCCTAGCCCTATGGACTATGGTTCATGGATGATCTCATTTTGCATCAATCTCTCTCCCTTTTTTGCTTTTTTTTTTTTTTTTTTTTTTTTTTTCTGGGTCACGCCGAAAGTTGGTAACAGCCCCCTTTCGTTTTCAAATAATGTTATTGGGACATAATTTATGGATATAATTTAAAAATATAATAAATTGTCACCAATAAAATGATAATAAAATATATTTAATGATAGGTCTCATTATAACATTAAATAAATTCATTATCATATCATTGGTGACAACTCATTATGTTCTCAAATTATATCCTAATAACATTGCTCTTCATTTTCACTCTTTGTCTATCATAATTTTTATAAAAAAATTTATTTTAAGTAGCGTGACATAATCTATATTATTAAAAATTTATAAAATTTATTTATTTAATAGTAAAAATTGTACTGCACTAAATAAAAGATTTGGTATGAAATCTTAGTCGGATAGCATTGTTGAGAAAAAAAAAGTGTTTGTCTATCTCTGTTTGATGAGCTTCCCACTGGTTTGGTCGCCAATTATGTACATTAGTGTCATATCAATTGAACAGCATATGGTTGATAATTGTTAGTAGATGTACGGGCGGAGTCACAAACTTTGGTATGGATTGAGTTGGTCACCAATTATGTACATTGGTGTCATATCGATTCAACAGCCACAATTGTTAGTAGATATATGTAGTGACAAAGCTAAAAAAAGGTTAAACATCAGTAAATATAACGTATACAAATAAAAATATTTAATTATAACGGGAAAGACTACAGTACTATCTGTGGTACCGTACTGAAAATTATAACTTTTTAAGGATAAATAACAAATTTTTTAAAGCATAAATTATAATTTTTAAAGAGTATGATCGATCATAAGTGGTTGGAATTGATACCAAACTAAGAAATTTCAAAGATTAGGTTACGACTTTTAAAAATTAACTTACAACTCATAAGAAAGAAGTTACAACTGTCCAAGAAAAGCCTCTAATCAATTATGGGTGTCAGTGATCAATCACAGTTTTCCCTTTTGCAGTTATAACTTCTCATTTTAAATGTATAATTTTATCATAAAAAATTGTAACAGGCGGTATGATACCGACATTTTTTTTTTATTTTAGTATTGTAGAGTTTTCCAATTACAACTCTTTCTAATAAATAAGGCTAACTGCATAAAAAATATTATAGTCTTTCTTTATATAAACAATCAAATTATTAGTCATTGATCGCTCATTCAGTTACACAACCTAGTTGTCAACTTGGCATAGTCTCTATGGCTTAAAGAATGAGTCTGACAAGTCAAAAACTTATCTAGATATATTCATAAACTTTCTAAAGTATGTCAAAAAATTTATAATTATTGATGTTTGAGACTATACTAATTGATAAAATAAAATAAAAGAAAAAAAGAAAAAGTAAACACATTTAAATATACTTATAATTATTTAAACATACATAAATAATATTTTTTTTAAAAATTGAGAGTTGGCCAGTTTCCCCTGGTTTTCAAATGGCTCCACCCATGGATAAATGATAATACATTCATACATATGAGTAGAAATGTAAAATCAAAAATTAAATCATGAATCTTTTATTTGCGTTACATGTCTATCAAAGGATACAGATACTCTTTAATCATTTGGTCGCCCCCATTGCTTATGGATATATGGTCCTAATCCAATTCAAATCCTAATAATTATAAAGAACTAAATTCATATTATGATGATTAAGTTGAACATATGGTGTGGTTTCCTTCTTTTTTGTTGAATGAAGCGTCATCTAAATCACGAGGGTACTTGAATTTCTTACTATCAACAATGCACCACGTGCGTTGCACGCGAATAATTTTAGTATATAAAATATTAATAAAAAATTTTAGGTATATATGTACCTATATAAAATATCATCTCAAGTTTATAAAAATTATATTTTTATTGCACGGATTATATTATAGAATTCGAAAAATTTTGTTCATTCCCAACAATTTGTTATTCTAACTTTAAGAAACAAGATAAAAATAATTCATTTTAAAATTCATTTAATTAGGTTTTAACTTATAATTTAGTGAATAAAATAATAATAATTATCAATATTCTAATAAATGCTTATTTTTTAAGAGTAAAATAGTCAATTAAAAAGTTTTATAGATATTGATATTTATACATAAAAAATAGAGAATTAAAAAGAGATGTTAGGGATTATTTGGAGATTTAAACACATAAGGATATTATGACAATTTAGATATTTACCTATGTGAAGATAATGAGGTATTTAAAATTCTTTATAAGGATAAAATAGTAAATCAAAAGTTTTTCATGTTAAAATATTTTTATTAGTAATAATATAGATATAGATAGACAAAACTCTGGACACATATAATTACACCAAACCATATGCATCTATCGAAGTAAGATTTTCGTGTAAAATTTGAACGGAAACCTCAAGATAATAACTTTTAATTTTTTTTTCTTCAATAACCTAATGGATTCATCGTACGAGATACAACCTGAATCCTCTAAATAGAGAAATTATTATTATAATTTGGAAATCCTCTAAAATGATTTGATAATCCATGTTATTATAAATACTCTCTAGACTATATAAGTCTGCCCACCCCCTATTCAACACTTCATTTCATCTACGAGCTTTTTAACTGCAACAACTTAAATATTTAATATTAAAGTCGAGATTATTGTGATTGTTGCCACCAAACTTACCCTCCGATGCGTCCTCATTAAGTGATATAGAATGGACACGCTAACATGACCTAGGTTGCTAGGCAGGTGCTTGTAAGAAAGGAGAAATCAAAAACTTATCAGAGAGAACTATTAGTACATATTTCTCAACAGGGAATTTTCAGAAACTATCGGAAAAGAGAGTAAATATTGGAAAGCGATTGTAATGCAGAGCTAGAATGGACCAAATTGACTCAGTAGCTTATATGGTCCGTCCATAACTAATTATTCTTATATGATTCCAGCAAAACACACCAACATTGACTGCATTTGTAGCAGTAGAAAAAAGAGCATTTCTAATACAGCCCATCCATTCTAAGTCCCCACAGAGCACAATTTTTCTACATGAATAAAGGGTTTTAGTTCAAACCTACCAATCAATTCCACGAGCCAACTGGATAGAATCTTCAGCCAGCAGAATTGGTTGAGCTTCCTTCCATGTCCAATCAATGTAGGGGGATCACCCCTGGCTGGTTCAAGTGAGCTCAGATGATTAAGAGTGTTATTCGATCGAGTCATATCATGTCATACATAAGTTATATCTTTTTGAGTTCGTATTATTATGTTTGTGTTTGTAAAATATTTTAAAATGATTAAAAAAAATCCTAATAATCATACATTTTCTTCTCACAACATCAAGGGTGTGTTGTTTGCAGTATAATAGTGGTATGAGGGGGTGGGATTGGATGAAATAGTACGTGGAGCCCATTAATTCTTTGTTTTGTTTGAGTTTTTGTGCATAATAGTAATTTTCAGATTTAAATACTAGCTCGAAAATTACAATACCATTAACCCCATGTAGATGACTTCAATTAATATCACCTAACTAGTAGGTGGTATTAATTGGAGGTATTTGGGTCACCGACCGTATATGACTCAAATTTACTATTATAGCCCTCGCATAGGAATAGAATGGATGGTATTACCGTATTATGTGTAATTAGGTCTATTTGTAATAAGAGATGTAACTTAATAATAGATGTTTTCTGGTGAGTCCCACAATAAAACATATTGTTCAAACAAACATGGGATGAGTTTGTTTTAATTTTTATGCCATGTATTACTTTTTCTCTATTTTAGAAGTATATGGAATACATTAGTCAATCCCATGAATACTCATCCCACAAACAAACACACTCCAATTGCACAAGTAATATATCTTTAAAAATGCAAAAATAGTTTTGGGTCCTTGCCATGAGGATTTTTGTCATATGATGGTTGGAGTGTGGATCAAGTTTGCAAAACCAAGATTATAAGGTATAGATCGAGTTTTGTCGTATTATGTTTCGAATCTTATTATTTTGGTCGTGTAATTTAGGATTCGTAATATCGTCTTCATGTTGATAGAAAATCATTTAATTGCCAAACAAGAAATACAATTCTAGAAAAAAAATTCCAAAAAAATAATCATAATTAGAACATACATGTTCTTATTAATTAGTAGTGTTATTTTCGGGTTCTTATCATGTGGTTTTTGTGTCGTTTTAATGTGGAAAATTGACATCCTTATAAAATTGTGCTCTTTGCACCAAAAGTCATCTACAAGCTTGGCCCCTCGTTGCACACAAAGTGGCTTTGCTCAGCTTGCCAGCATTCTTCAATCCAAAAATCATTTCACAATGTCTAATATCCTCTTATAAGATGCTCAAAACTCAACAAAAGAGTGTCCAAAACTAGAACCTACCAAAAAATGCAGAAAACCCAAGGAATGGAGAGTGTGAAAGCCACAAACAACCAAACTGAACCAAAAGACACATACAGACTTGCTTATATAATCCATTTCTTGCTTGGTGCTGGCAATTTGCTTCCATGGAATGCTTTGATCACAGCTATTGATTACTTTAACAATCTTTATCCAACCAAGCACATTGAAAAGGTCTTCTCTGTGACTTACATGGGTTCTTCTGTATCTATGCTACTTCTTATTCTGATTATGAGTTGGGGTAGAAAAATGAGCTTCAGAGTGAGAATGAACTTGGGGTTTTCCTTGTTTGTTTTCTCTCTGATGGTGAGTCCCATAATTGATTGGGGTTGGCGTGGCGATAGATCGAAAGGAGGGTCTAGTGTAGCCTATGGTATATTGGTTGGAGCAGTTGTGATCTGTGGTTTGGCTGATGGATTGGTGGGAGGAAGCTTGATAGGATCTGCAGGCAAGCTGCCTAAACAATATATGCAGGCAGTTTTTGCTGGGACTTCTTCTTCAGGTACTAACTATAAGTCTCTTTCTTTCTCTTTTTTCTATTCTTTCGACAGAAAATATGGCCCTTTGGTAGAGCACAATATGCAAAACTGTATACTTGGGATACAAGTTTTGTTGAGTTGAGTTTATTTTTCAGACGATGTTTTTTTATTTGTTTGTCGAGCATTTAAGGTAAGACTACGTACATATGACTTCTTTGGCGAGAGTCAATTGTGACATGAACTGAAATACCCTTTGTAAGTTTGTCAGACACTAAATTTTCACTTGGGCTTTTCCCCAAGGAAGATCCTTCAAATGTGGCACTAATCCCCTGCCTCTCTGAATGCAAGAAAAACACCAATAAAAGCCCTTAGCTTCTCCAAAATCATTTCTCCACTATGCTATTTCATTTACTAACTTACCCTAAGAAAGCAACTACCAATAATTCTTGAATTGTCTTCTTTAGATTCACCATAAGTTGGCAATCTAGAAAACAACAAAGTAAATGCAAGGCATAAAATGCAGGATTGATGTTGCAAATTAGCCTTCAACTTATGATTTTGATGGCCTCTAAAATATTCACAAAAGAGGACCAGTAAGAGAAAGAGTATAGGCCTTGCCATAACAGTAAAGTTGTTCTATTGTGACCTGGAGGTTACAGGTTCGAGTCACGGAAATAACCTTTCTACTTACTGGCGTAAGGTTGCGTACATGTAACCCTCCCCAAACCCTGCAATGACGGGAGTCTCATGCACTGATTACGCCCTTTAGGACCAGTAAGAGTAAGTCTTAGCTCAAGCTGAAGTTTGCAACTTCAATTTCTGTTCACAAAGAAATCACATTCTCTCACCTCCCATGATTCAATGCATTGTTTTCTGACAGGTGTTCTGGTTTGCATCTTGAGGATTATAACAAAGGCCTCACTTCCTCATACACCACAGGGTCTCAGAACGAGTGCTCACTTTTACTTCATAATCAGCACAATTATATTAATTAGTTGCCTTGTCTGTTGCAACATGTTATACAAGTTACCAGTTATGCAACAACATTACAAACTCCTCCAAGAAGAACTGCCATGTCCAAGGCCAAAAATATTGGACACATGTAGAAAAATCCGATGGCCTGGTTTTGGGATCTTCGTGATATATACCATGACACTGTCAATTTTCCCCGGATTCCTGGCTGAGAACGTCGAGTCCAAGCTCTTCGGAGATTGGTATCCGATTATGCTGATCACAGTGTACAATTTTACTGATTTTATTGGGAAGTCTTTAACTGCAATTTATGTGTTGAAGAGTATTAGAAAGTCTACATTCGCCTGCATTGCTAGGCTCTTGTTTTACCCCCTATTTGCAGCCTGTCTTCATGGACCAAAATGGCTGAAAACTGAGGTACCAATAGTGGTTCTGACACTAATGCTTGGACTGAGCAATGGGTATTTGACTAGTGTGCTTATGATTCTCTCTCCTAAATCAGTGCCACCTTCAGAAGCTGAAATAGTTGCAGTTGTGATGGTTGTGTTCCTGGGGATTGGTTTGGTTTCGGGTTCGATTCTCGGGTGGTTCTGGATCATTTAAACCTGGTTGAATTTCCATAGTCATAGTAAGGATCAGTCGAAAGAAGTTTCTTGTAATGTTTATGGAAATTGTTATGAATCTGTAATGTAGAAGTCTGCTACTTTTCTCCATCTCTTAATCTTTTCCTTCTGAAAGTCTATCCTTCCCCATACTCTGAAAAAAATACAGCCAAGTGCACGAACTCCAGTCTTTACAAATTTGGGAGGATTGTAAACATGCATTTTTGGCTCCACTTACAGAGATGTTGTTTCCGTCCCTACCAATACTCTCAAGTACATAAAATTGACATTCATAACATTTCATAATACTAAAGCGCTTATTATAAAATGTATCAGAATACCAAACCAAAAACTAATAAATAATAGAATTGGCAATAAAAAATTCAGATAACTTTTAGTCGCCATACCTTTTGTTTGGTTTGTGAGAATGAGATTGAAGAAAAATAGATTAAGAATCTCGTAGCAAATGCCCCACTCTATGATAGCTTGGATTTCTACTTTTTTTTTTTTTTTTTTTTGTTCATCTCCTTTAACTTGATGGCAAAAACGAAAAAAAGAAGAGGAAAATCCCAAAAACGAATAGCACATAATTATATCTCCAATGCATACTTGGAGTGCATTTTTCTTTATGTTGAAAATAGTAGATAACCCATATTCATTAAGCCTAAAAGTCTAATGGCTGGTGAGCGGAGTGGAACCTATAGAAATTGTCACTCTGTTGGGATTTTTAATAGTGAAAGCACTGTGGATGTTTATTGCTCTTGATTGCTTTTCTTTTTCTTGTTTAATTGTTTACCGCACTGCATGTTCACAACGCGCTCTACCACTTATCAACAACAAAACATAGTCTGTCATGGCTCAGGTTGAGTCCCAGGGAAATTTGCTGTCAAGAAGCTGAGAACTTTGTGATGGGACTTTTCTGAAATATTTCATAATGAAGACACATGTTCTCGGTATTATCAAAACACTGTTGCTAAGATCAAGCACCATCGGCGCACAAAGGTCCTCGCCCCCGAGGTATCTGTCATATAGGATCATACATTCAGTATGTTTTACAACCGACACGTGGCCTCGGTCTGATATAGTACCTCGGTCGGCATACCTCCCTCGGTACCGAGATGAGCCTTTCCTCGGTGCCGAGAGGTACCCTATCCTGGACGCCTCCTCTACTCCAGGATAAGCTATTGACGTACAGGTCATTAGCCTAGGCTATTCATCATGACCTCGTCTTACACAATTAGTGTCAGAACGTACAGGAATGCAGGGGCCACAACCAATGAGGGATGGACGCGTGGCATATGATATCACATCGAAGACAGAGAAACCGCATGCCATTGCTGACACGTGACTTGGGAAAACAAACTATTAATTACACCATTCCTTTGATGAGACCGCATTCAATGCGGTAAGGCTCGGAAATGAAAGGCAATAAATGCTCCTAATACAGAGCATTTATTGCATCCTCCCCGAGAGGAGTACATTGTACCGTCGGCATCCCGATGACACAGCATTGATTGTTCGGGACCCCGAGCAGTTAAGAAGAGAAGACATTCTTCATCAGAATCAGTGCGCACACTGCCTGTACCTAATGATCATCTACTGACTACACTGACAGCAATCATGAACTTTTGAGGTATAAATACTCCTTGCAAAAGGCAAGACGGGTATGCAACAACAAACTCCTTATTACAATACTCACTCAGTGTTTTCTCCTTTCTCTGTCTCTCTCTCTCTCAAAAACTGACTAGATCGTCGGAGGGGATACGCCGAAAAACACTCCGGCGCCCTTCTAACTTGTTCTTCTTTGTTCCAGGAACCTATTTCAGCCTTACTGGATCGTTCTTCCGTTCCCAGGGTCTCCCGTTGCCGTTCCAGGTTACCACCGGACCTCGCAGGCTGTTCCAAGCAGCGTGGTTGGTCACTCAACGGGCTCGAAAACAGCAAGGAGTTCTTCAAGAAAGGGTGGGACGAGGCGCTCCAGTCTGCTGGAATCCCGTCAGACTCCCCGCTCTTCCAAATGCACAAGTACGTGCCCTCGGCAGAGATGGCATGGGCCGAAGCAGAGATTGCTGCCGAGGAGGAGGTCCCAACGCCGGTGCAAGTCTCAGCGGATTCTTCCCGAAGTTGCTCCTCCGATTTTCTGTTTAGTGCCTCGGCTCTGATCCTGTCCAGCTCCTGGGTGAGAGCAAGACAGCTTTCCTCTGAGCCTACCGCCCTCTCCTCCGCAGCAGAAAGCCGCCGCGTCTGCTCGATTATCCTCCCCTCAGCATCGGCAAGGGCAGCACTTAGCTTTTCAGCGCCAACCTTAGCCGACTCGGCATCCTTGAGGAGTTGCTCGATTTGAGCAGCCTGCCCCGCCAGGGTAGAGTCCCTGGCAGCTACGTCCTCCATTGCTCGGGCGAGGGCCCCCTCCGCCTCTTCCTTCTGCTCTCGAGCCCGCTGGAGGTCCATCATAGACCCATGGTACCGGGCAGCTATTATGGAGATCTGCTGGGTAGCCTGCAAAGGAGGGAAAAAGGTGTATCACTAAAATGGAAAGCGAGAGAGAAGAAACCAAAGCAAAAATGAACTCACCACCAGGGAATTCTGGATGATGGAGCGGAACAACACGTTGGTTGAATGCCCCCTATGAGCCGCCATGTCAGCCTCGAAATGCAGTGTCTCACTCACTGCATTGGCGACATGAGGATCCAGCAAAATGGAATCATCGACCCTAATCACTCGGTTCATGTGATCGGTCGCTCGGAGATTCCACTCCGCGGCTTCCACTGTCGGCGGAAGGGAAGGGGGAGTCTGCTGCTGCTGTTGTCGTGGCTGTTGCTGCTGCTGCTGTTGTGGAGGAGCAAGGGGTAACCCACGGCCTCTCCCGCTTTGCTGCTGAGCGGAAGGTGCCCTGGATCCCCGGCCGAGGCCATCGTGCCGATGTTTGACCCTTCTCTCCTCCTCTACTTGAGGATCCCGGTCACGCACTTGACCCCGGCTGAGAACTCTTGAGGATGGGGTGGAACTGGTCCCTACAGAGGGGGCGCCACCGGTCGATCATCGACCCCTCCCGACTGCAAGGGCTTGCCTCTGCCTCAGGAAACCCAGATCAATGCGAGGGGTGCTGGACATCGCTACCTCGAGGGCGTCCTCGGCGTCTAAAGATTGTAGGACTTGGAAGTCTAGCCACAAGTCTCCTCCCGAAGTCCCCACCTCGGCGTCCGAAGGAACAACGTCCTCTCTAACCCCCGAGCTCTTCAGCAACTCCCTCTACCCCTGCCTCCAAAGCCCGATCCGGGTCTTCCTCCAAGTTTTCCTCAACCTCTAGCCTCGCCGCCTAATCGAAGAGTTCAGACCACCGCGAAGGCTCAAAAGGCTGAGGAAGCTGTGAAAATTTCTTATACCCGGGGGTATAATTCAGCAGGATGTGAGCAGCACGGCCAAACCCGTTGTCACCCGTGAATCTCCAAACCGTGATTAGGTCGGCAAAGTTCACCAGCGACCGAGGAGGAGGAGCTGTTTCCCGAGCAGGAATATCTGCACAAACAAAATAGTCATGAACATGGGAAGTCTGGAGAAACAAATAATAAACCCAAAGGAACCGACATACTTGTCGTTCTCCATTCCAGAGGGCATAACAAGTCATTATACTAGGGACCAACACCTCTCTGCCAAGATCCCTTGAAGATAAGAATATCATCCTTGTACCCCTTGTCCGAGTCAGGAAGATGAGTTACAAGGTACATGGAGGGGTCCCTGGCTTTGAGGTAGAAGTGTTGGTGAGACATGACTCTCAGGAGGGAATAACAAAAAAGGAGATCGTTGAGCCCAATATTTACCCCGAGGCGCCTATTGAGCTCTAAGACCCCCATAATTATTCGGAAAATATTAAGGCAACATTGCCCGGGGAAGAAGCGGAAATGAGAAAGAAACTGAAGAAGAATGGGGGGTAAAGGAAACCTAATTCCTCCCTCTATTATGGCCTTGGTATAAAAGGGCATGGCATCCTCGGCCCCGAGAGTAGAAGAGTGCACCACCGGGTCATAATCCTCTACGTCTACGCACGGGGGAATGCCGTACTTGACCTTAAACCTATCAATCTGCTCACCACCCTTTACTTTATATTTCCCCGACCCCGAAGAACCAGCCTGAGGATTCTCGGGAGCAGGGCGACGACGAGACATCTCTAAAAAAAGTGAGAAAGAAGAGGGTGTTTGTTCTTGAAAATCCCTGAGGAAGTTTCCCGAGGGCTAATCGCTATGTATCAACCGGAGACACCTCCAGTCATTGGAAAACAAAAGGATAGGAGGAAGAAAAGAAGGAAGATACTGGAACTCACCCGAATGTCAAAACGGAGTTTTTTCTGGAAAACCTTAAAGTGACTCCTTCCAGAAAGTTCAGAAACAACGATGAGTCTGCTGGCTTTAAGACTTTAAGGAAGAATGGGTAGTCGACGATGGAAGAAGAAAGAAATCTCCGGCGAAGATTCAAGAAGAGGCTCTCTTGAGGAAGTTCGGAATAGCAAAACAAGAGTAACGGAAGAGGAGCCCCATTTATATAGGGGCAATTTCATCATTAGGCTCGAAAAATGAAACGGCGCATTTAATGCGCACGACATCCCAAGTCGGGGAAAGCGGCTCAAGGCAATGATGAAGCATTGGTGGTTGTTGGAAAACCCTTCGTCTCCTTACGACGCGTGCCCTCGGTGTCAGAAGATCGAAGGCTGGGGGGCAGTTGATGGGACTTTTCTGAAATACTCCATGATGAAGACACGTGTCCTCGGTATTACCAAAATACTGTTGCTAAGATCAAGCACCATCGGTGCACAAAGGTCCTCGCCCCCGAGGTATCCGTCATATAGGATCATGCATTCAGTATGTTTTACAACCGACACGTGGCCTCGGTCTGATATGGTACCTCGGTCGGCATACCTCCCTCGGTACCGAGATAAGCCTTTCCTCGGTGCCGAGAGGTACCCTGTCCTGGACGCCTCCTCTACTCCAGGATAAGCTATTGACGTACAGGTCATTAGCCTAGGCTATTCATCATGACCTCGTCTTACACAATTAGTGTCAGAACGTATAGGAATGTAGGGGCCACAGCCAATGAGGGATAGACGCGTGGCATATGATATCACATCGAAGACAGAGA